AAGACAGCATGAGGGCTGACGTGGGGTGGGGGTTTCTCTCATGATGGCCGGGATGCCAGTGTCGAGTCCGCTTGGCGCCCTGGCACCAGGGTGGGACCCACTCTGGCTGTGCATGAGCACTTGCAGACCCCAGCTGGGCTGGAGGCCACCAGGGGTCCGGAGGACTCCCTCGGGCCCGAAAGCATGTGAACCCCCACGGGATCAAGCTGTGGGTGACCCATCAGGCCGGAGGAGGGTGTTAGGAGCCACCCGGGAGTGACCACCAGGCCAAGGGGGATCCAGTTACATGCGCACCGTGGCTCTGAGGGTGAGACAGCTCCTGCACAGGGGGCCAGTGGGTTTGCATGGTGCCCACCCCAACCCTGTGACATCCTGGCCTTGGGAAGGCAGGGGTACCCGGGAACCCGGTCTGGGTTGGGCAGGGCTGGGGTTCACCGGGGAAGCTTCAGAACCGGCCCTCGGAGGGACGATGCCAGGGGTGCGGCCAGGGCTGGAGAGGTTTTGGCCCCATGAGTAATTCCCATGGAGGTGGAGAAAGCCTATTTTAGGTCCTGCCCTTTGCTTGCACATGGGACTCTCCGTGTGTGTGATCTTAGGCTTCCTGTGGTTTCCATGGGTGAAAACAGGTGTCCAGAGATCCCCGCAGGCCCAGCACCCCACGAGCCCGCATATCTCAGGGTCTGACCTCGGTGGTGGCCCGAGGGACTGGTCACCCAGACGCTGGCTCCTCTGAGGCCCGTTTCCAGACCACCAGGGCACCCCTTCTCTGTGCCCTGCTCCAGACAGCTGCAACAGGGTGCAAGGAACCCCAAGACTGATAGGACGGCACCTGCGTGGGAGCACCCGGGGCCATGCCAGGGCTTGTCCACTCCCCAAGTGCACGACCTTCTGTGAGCTGCTGCCCCACCCGTGAGGACCAGCGGCTCCTGCCGCCCACGTGTTCTGTCTGCTTGAGACAATGAGAAAACCGTCCCTTCCGTGGAGCCGAAAGGGCCCCTGGAGCCCCACATCCTCTGCGTCAGCTGGAACGATGCGGATGTGCCGGGGGCTTCGGGGCCCCAACTGTTCCCGGTCCCCGTGATGATTTTCACTCTGGTGTCCTTGTTAAAAAACAAAACCAAGCCAAATAAAAGGAGGAAAAAACAATATAGACAATTTTTACTACCAAAAAACGCCATAAATTTAAAACTAAAAAAATGGGGGGGGGAGGCCACCTGGGTGACACAGTCCGTTAGGCACCCGACTCTTGGTTCTGGCGCAGGTCATGGCCTCAGGGTTGGCGGGGAGTCTGCTTGGGGTTCTCCGTGTCTTCTCCCTCTGCCCCTCCTGCTTGTGAGCGCTCACACACGCGCCCACACTCTTGACAAGAAATAAATCAATCTTTTTAAAAAATGTAAAAACAAACAATTCTAGAATAAATATTTTTAAATGTTCAGAAGGCTATCTTAAAACATCCCGTGCTCGCATAACTGATATTGTTACAACGTCCACATCAAGCAATCTACAGACTCCGTGCAAATCCCGAGCAAAACTCTGATGGCATGTCTCGCAAAAAAAAAAAAAAAAAAAAAAAATTAAACTTGTGCGGAACCACAAAAGACCCCAAATGGCCAGAGCAATCGTGAGGAAGCAGAACAAAGCTGACGACATCATACTTCCTGATTTCAGACCATACCCAGAGCTGTCATAGTCACAATGGTGCGATCGCCGCACAAAAGCAGATGCGCAGATGAGTAGACGGATGTGAGTAGACAGTCCGGAAATAAACCCACACGTGCGTGGCCGATGAATTTATGAAAAAAGGAGCCAAGAATCCACCGGGGGAGAAGGACGGTCTCTTCTATCAACGATGTTGGGAAAACTGGACAGCCCTACACAAAAGAATTGAACTGGGTCGCTTCCTTACCCCACACAACGCGCACACAGGAATAAACTCAAAATGGGTTAAAGACTTGAATGTGGGACGTCCGGGTGGCTCGGGGGTTGAGCATCTGCCTTCGGCTCAGGGCGTGACCCCGGGGTCCCGGAATCGAGTCCCGCATCGGGCTCCCCGCAGGGAGCGGAGCCTGCTTCTCCCTCTGCCTGCGTCTCTGCCTCTCGTGAATGAATAAATAAGGTCTTTAAAAAAAGGGGGGGGGTTGAATGTAAGACCTGAAACCACAAAACTCCACATCTGTAAATTCTATATCTGACGAGGTGTCAATAGATGAAATATATAAAGAACCCGGATAAGTCAGCAGCAGCGAAGCAAACAATCCTGTATTACAAAACACGCAGCAGATCGGAATCGTACCTCTTTTTCCGAAGGAGCCCTACAGATGCCCGACAGGAACAGAGAAAGATGCTCAATGTCACTGATTAGGGAAATGCAAATCAGAACCGCAGTGACATCACCCCACACCTGGTAGGATGGCTAGGATCGGAATGACAGGAAGGGCCGCGCTGCTGAGATCGGAGCCTCTTACCGGCCGGTGGAGGACAGAGCTGCCCTAGGACCCGGCGGCGACCCCGGTTCTGCGCTTTGATCCAGAGAAAAGGAAAACACTGATTCACAAAGCTGTCTGCACCCCCGAGCTCCCTGCAGCATCGTTTGCAACAGCACAGACGCGGAAACCGCCTAAGCGTCCGAGGCTGGATGGACGGATGGAGAAGACACGCGGATGCGCTCAGGGAGTAGCACTCGCCGCCAAAAAGAAGGAAGTGTTGCCACTTGCATCAACACGGATGGACCCGGAGGGCACGACGCTCCGCGAAAGAAGTCAGAGAAAGACGAACACTGGGTGACCTCTCTCTCTTTCTCTCTCTTTTTTTTAAGAATTTTATCTTATTTTATTTAAATTCAATAAGTTAGCATATAGTGTATTATTAGTTTCAGACGTACAGGTCAGGGATTCATCTGTCGCACGTAACACCCAGTCAGTGCTGGTGACATCCTGTGCCCTCCTTCACGCCCGTGCCCCAGTGACCCTGTCCCCCGACCCCGCCCCTCCAGCCACCCTCAGTTTGTTTCCTGTGATTAAGAGTCTCTTATATAAAAAAAAAAGTCTCTTATGGTTTGTCTCCCTCTCGGACTTTGTCTTATTTCCCCCTCCCTTCGGCTGTGATCCTCTGTGCTCTTTCTTAATTCCACGTATGAGGGAGACCATGTGATAACTGTCTCTCCCACAGGACCTCTCTTGCATGGGCAATCTTTTTTTTTTTTTTTTTTAGATTTTAGTTATTTATTCATAAGAGACACAGAGAGAGAGGCAGAGGCACAGGCAGAGGGAGAAGCAGGCTCCATGCAAGGAGCCGGACGTGGGACTCGATCCCGGGACCCCAGGATCACACCCCGGGCTGAAGGCGGCGCTAAACTGCTGAGCCCCCCGGGGCTGCCCCTCGTATGTGGAATCTAAACACACACGCCCTGGACTCGACTACAGAGAACAGGTTGCCGGCGGCAGAGGGTGAGGGGTCGGGGGACAAATGGGTAAAGGTGATCAACACACACGAAGTCCTAGATCCCAGACAAGCGAGTCGCGGGGAGGTGCCGCGCGCGCAGAATGGTGGCGACGCTTACTGACACTGTATTATATGAAAAATGCTAATTCCCGAATGGTTTAATATTTGCAGACGACTTGCGGAGCTCGGAGCGCAGAGCCCTGCACGCCGCACGGCTCCCCCACGGTCTCCGTCTTGTGTCGCGTGCGAGGACGGATGGGCCGTGACCTAAACCAAGGAGCCGCAGGCTGCTCACATTTCCCTGGTTTTCCCTAATGTCCCAAGATCCACGGTGACGTGTCACCTCCAGGGCTCCTTCGGCCCCTCTTGGCTGTGCCGGGGCTTTGGACTTTGCCTTTGATGACCTCGAAGCTTCTGGGAACCCCCGGGCAGGGTCCACGGGGGTCTCATGGTGATCCGCTGGTGGGCAGACACACGTAGGGGTCCTGCGGTGCTGGGGGGCGACTGGGGGGCCCTCGTCGGCACATCCTGCCCAGGGCTCACGCGGTCAGGCAACTGTCCCTGTTGACGTCCACCTGGGGGCTGGGGGGGGGTGTCCTGTCGGGTTTCTCCCTGCAGACCCCCCCATCCTGCCAAGTCACGAGGCCCACGCCCCAGCTGGGAGGAGGGGAGTCCCAACCCCCACCCTGGTGTCTCCCCGAGGTCTGCCCAACACCCAATTGGCCGGAACCTCCTGCTCACGGCCCCTGGGGCTCCCCGATGGGCCCGCCTCCCGCCACACGGACCCCCTCCCGCCTGTGCCAAATGCCCCGGCTCCTGTTTCCTCGCGCTGCCCTGGGGGCCACCCCAGCTACCTAAGCCCCCCCCACCCCGCAGAACCCCCTCACCCTGCCCTCTGCACCTCCTGCCCCCTCCCCTTGGAGCCTCCCTCCTGCTGGATCCCCGCCTCCACTGGAGCCCCCTCTGCTATAGCCACCCCCTCCACTGGAGGCTCCCTCTTGGAGCCGCCCCCCCAGAGCCCCCTTCCTGCTGGAGACCCCCCACTGGAGCCCCCGCCCCCGCTAGAGGCCCCCCCTTGGACCCTCCCTGCTATAGCCCCCCACACTGGAGCCCCTACACTGGCACCTCCCCACCTTGGAGCCCCCCCCTTGGAGCCCCACCTCCCCCAGCCCCCAAGCCCCGCCCCCAGCACCCCTCCCCCCAGCTCCCCACCTCCTTGCCCAGCAACGCCCCCTTACTGAACCCCCCACACCCTAAACCCCTTCACAGAGGTGGGCTCTGGACCCCACCCACCCTGAGGGCTCCCCCTCCCCCACTGGACTCCCTAGCCTCCCCCAGGGTGAGCGCCCCCAGGAGCCCTCACCCTTCCACCCCACACCCCCTGGCAGTGAGGCTCCCCGCCCCTCCCCTGCACTCCCGCCCCCTCCCCCGCCCCCGCACGTCACGTGGGAACCCTGCGCCCCCACCCCAGTGCTCTCCTGCGGGTCTGCACCCCTGCCCCCAGTTCTTCCATCCAGCGCGTGTCCTGCGGGTCACCAGGAAGCACCTTTGCGGGTTCCATGGCCCTGTCCCCCCGGGGAACCCTGGACCGCTCAGCCCTTGCCCCGCCGGCAGAGGAGCCCTGGCCTGAGACCTATGAAATCCGTGAGCCCCTCTACTTCTCCGGCCTCCTGTGCTTGGGGTGCCCTCCCGGGAGACTGCAGGCGGGGGTCTGGGGGGACAGGGGAGGAGAGGGTGTGCTAGGGACCCCAATTGCGGGAGGACCTGGGTTCCACCGCCCTCCGTTTTGTGGGGAGCAGCCCACCGGACCCCACACTGTGGCAGGGCCCCGGGCGGGGAGGGACACTCCACGGGGGACACACCAGGCCTCCTGTCAGGACCGGCGCCCACCCCAGGTCTCCCTGGCCCCGGGGGCTGGGGCGGGAGGAGCAGGTGTCCCCAGAGCACCGGGAGGTCTGGTTCACCCCCATGCAGGGCGCCAGGGTTCCCGGCAGAGGCCCACTGGCCCATCTCCCCCCCGTGCACGCCCCTCTCCCGGTGCGGGTCCCCTGGTGGCCGTCCCAGTCCTGGAGCCCGAGGCAGAGCAGAGCGCGGACATCATCCTGGTGGGCTCCAGCAAGCCGGCGCCCGGTTCTTGCCGGCCCCGCAGAGGTGAGGCTCCCGGGGGGCGGATCCATCCCTGAGGGTGCCACCTGGGCCCGCGCCGACTCCCGGGCCTCTGGAATATTTACACAAGATTCGGAAACCGGCAGGGGCAGGAGGCCCCCCAGCCCCCGGGGGCCCTCGACCGCGTTTACACGGGAGAGACAGGCGGCAGAGGGAACGGGCGTGCGGTCGCCTTTTGCAGGTGTCGGTGCATATGACGTCCAGGTGGACCGGAGAGACATAGAAGGTGAGCGCGGCCCGGGCGAAGGCGGGCGGGCAGCCCCGAGTCTCCTTTCTCTGTCGATTTGCCAGTTCTCGATTCTCTTGCATTTCCCTGTACGTTTTTTAGAAAGATTTATTTGTTTATTTGGGAGAGCGGGTGCGCTGGACAGAGAGTCCTGAAGCCGGCTCCCCACCCCTCGCGCAGCCCCACGCAGAGCCCCACGCAGAGCCCCACGCAGGGCCGGATACCGGGACCCTGGGATCGTGACCTGGGCTGAAATCACGAGTCCGTTCCTTCCCAGCCTGAGCCACCCAGGCGCCCCTCCATAGGCATTTTAGGATCAGTTTATCAATTTTTGCAAAAAAAAAAAAAAAAAAAAAAAGCCAGCTGGGATCTGGAGAGGGATCCGTAGACCGGCTTGGGGAGACCTGTCACCCGGCTAAGCCCCCGATCCGTGAGCCCGACCAGATCCTGGGTGGGATCCGTTACCTTTTGCTTAGTTCTTCATGTTTTCCCACAACATCCGGGGGGTGTCGGGGTCGGGGTCTTGCGCTTATTTCGCACAATAAGGGGGCGTTGCTAAGCGCGGTGCTCTGTTTGCTGGCGTCGCGGCTCCTGTGGCACGTTGGACGTCCACCGCAGGCATGTGCATCTGCTGCGGGAGCCTCCAGGTGCACACGCAGCACCCCCTGTTTGAGGGGGGGATGTGCGCTCCGTGCAAGGTAAGCGGGGAGGTGAGGGGGGCCTTGCAGGGGGCCTGGGGCAGAGCAGGTGCCAGCCCGGCCCCGCCCCTCTCCGAGGACAAGTTTCTGGACTGCCTGTTCCTGTACGACGACGACGGCTGCCAGTCCTACTGCTCCATCTGCTGCTCCAGGGACACGCTGCTCATCTGCAAAAACCCGGACTGCACCCGGTGAGGCTGGGGGCACCGGCCAGGCTGGGGGGAGTTTGGGGGCGCTGGGGGGCTAGTGCGGGCGAAGGAGCCCGGTGGGGGCTTCCGGCCAAGATGGTTTCCACTTTCATCCCAAATATTGTGTTTGGTGTGAGCCCTGACGTGAGGGCCCCGGGCGTGGAAAGATGTACGTTCCCGATTTTTCTTTTTGTTGTTAGCGCCAAGCTCTGCGGCTCCGGCTCCCTGGGTCGGAGCCAGCGGGGAAGTGACGCAGAGCCCGCTCCCCTGGGGCTGGCGGGGGCGGAGGCCGAGCTCCAGCTATGCTCCCTCCCCTGGGGTCCCTGGGCCACCATCCCACTCACATGGCCCTCCCCCCACGCCCGCCCTGGCTGCGGTCCTTGCACCTGTGTCCCTGCGAGCCCCTGACTTCCTGGCTCCGCAGGTGGGCGGCCGGAGGCTGAGGGCATCACCCCCCTCACTGTCCTCTGCAGGTGGCTCCTTCCTGTCCCTGCAGATCCCTGGCAGGGACTGCACCCCCCCGCCCCCCCCATGCTGGGTGACAGCTCCCCCTCACCCCTGCACCATGGGGGGGGGGCGAGACCTCTCACGGGAGGCGGGCTCCCTGGTCTGTGTCCAGGGCGGGAGCGGGATGCCATCGCGGTCACTGCCGCTTCCTCTCTGACTCTAGATGCTACTGCTTCAAGTGTGTGGACACCCTGGTGGCCCCCGGGACGTCGGGGAGAGTTCAGGCCATGAGCAACTGGCTGTGCTTTCTGTGCCTGCCCTTCAGGCGCAGCGGGCTCCTGCAGAGGCGCAGGCAGTGGCGGGGCTGGCTCAAGGCCTTCTGCGACCGGGAATTGGTGAGGGGGGGCAAGGGGGGAGGTGGGGAGAGGGGGGAGGGGGGGCCTTAGGTTGAGGGCGCGGCGCCAGCCCTGCTTTCTCTGCAGAGCCCTGGGTTCTGAGTGAGGGGGAGGCCAAGGACTCTAAGCAGATGCTCCTTCCTGTTTCTTGGGGGTGCGCTCCCTGCACTTGGTGCTCCCAGTGCTCTCGGTGCTCCCTGCTCCCGGCACCATGGCTGGGCAGGGGTGCTCCCTCCAGCCAGGGAGGGAGGGAGGCATTAGCAGCGGGTGGGGGAGGGCTCAGCACAGGGCACCACCGAGTCCAGCCAATGGGAGCGAGCGTCCAGGCAGGACGCTCTCCCTCAGTGTCCCCAGCAGGACCCAGAGCCGCCACCCCTGGACTTGGGACTGTGCCTCCAGAGTAGAAGTAAATTAGTGGTTTTAGGTCTCAGCTTATACTCACCGCTACAGGCGCCCCGGAACCTAAGACGCAAGAGTGACCCTGGGTCAGCAGGCAGGGATGGCAGGGCCACACCAGCAGGGCCACACCGGACCTGGCAGCCCAGGCTCCCGCTCCCCCAGCCTCCACCCCCCAGCCTCCACCCCCGCAGCCCCCGCAGCCTCCACTCCCCTAGCCTTCACCTCCCCACCCTCACCCCCACAGCGCAGCAGGGCACCAGGACCACCCCCCAGTGCCCATCAGAGCTGCACTTGTTCCAGACCCACTGCCCTCCTGGTGCCCTCTGACCTCGCCACCCCCCACCCATCGGCTGCAGCCACAGGCAGACCCTGCCCCACGTGGCTCGGGGGCTCCTGCTCGGGCTGCTCAGGCCAGGAGTCAGGGAAACCCACTCCAGGTAGTCAGGATCCCCCGAGAAGTCCCGACGAAGTGCTTCCTTGGGAAAGGCTTTTCTTCCTCTGTGATCAGGAAAGGCCCCTTGCGCCTGCCTCCCTGCACCGGGTGGGCGTCCGGCCTGGAGACCTCAGCTGGGGGGCCGGGGGCAGGCCAGGGCCAGCCTGCCTTGAAGGCGCCTTCCGGGGCGTCTCCCTGGACCGGAGAGGGGTTTCCCCGAGCCTCACGGGCTCTGCAACCAAGTCACGGCGAGAACTGGGTTTCCAACAGGAGACTCCCCTGGAGACCTATGAAACGGTGCCCGTGTGGAAGCGAGAGCCGGTCCGGGTGCTGTCCCTCTTTGGGGACATCAGGACAGGTGAGTGACCTGAGGCCCAGCTCTCCTGGAGCAGCCACACGCCCGTGCCTCCCTCGCACCCCAGGCCGCCCCATGATGCGCAGACGCCGGCCTGCTCGGGGTGCCCGGGGTCAGGGCCTGAGGCCACCCTGCCTCGTCTGCCCACCCAGACGACGCCTCCCTGGGGGATATCATAAGACCCTTGCTGCTCCCGCCTTCCCGTCCGCCCACAGGCCGAGGCCTCCCGGCTGTGCCCGCAGCTGTCACAGCCCGGCTGGGTGACATTAGCGTCAGCACCAGGGCTGCAGGATTTCCTAACCCGGGCGTGACGCAACAGCGGGAGGGGCGGGGGAGTCTGCTTTTGCAACAAATTCCTTGAGTTCTTGAATCCATCCACAGTGGGATTCACTTGCTCTGTGAGCGGCCTCCGCCCCCGCCCCTGCGTCGTCCTAGAGACCGAGTCTGAGTGTGCTGTTTCCTGATCCCTCCTTGGCCCTTTGTTCTGTGTGGGGTCAAAATGAACGCTCGCCCCCCTGTGCTCCCCTTGTGTCTCCCCGTGCAGAGCTCGTGAGTTTGGGCTTCTTGGAGGGTGGTTCCAACCCGGCAGGACTGAAGCACTTGGATGATGTCACGGATGTCGTGAGGAGGGATGTAAGGACTGCCGTGTGACTCTGGGGGCCAGGAGATGTGCAAGGGACCTGTGGGGGTGCCAGGGGAGCCTGGGGGGGCCTGGGGGCCCAGGGGCTGGGGGTAGCCAGGGAGGCCTGGGGAGCCAGAGGGGCCTGGGGGCCTAGGGACTTGGGGGGCGCCGTGGGGGCCTGGGGAGCTGGAGGGCCTGGGGGGCCTGGGGAACCAGGGGTCCTGGGGAGCCAGGGGCTGGGGGGAGTCTGGGGGGCCAGGGGGTCCTGGGAGGCCAGGGGCCTTGGGAGGAGCCATGGGGGCCTGGGGAGCTAGAGGCCCTGGGGGGCCTGGGGAACCAGGGGTCCGGGGGGAAGCTGTGGGGGCCTGGGGAGCTGGGGGACCTGGGGGGCTTGGGGGTAGCTGGGGGGGCCTGAGGAACCAGGGGTCCTGGGGGCCCAGGGGGTCCTGGGGGGCCAGGGGGCCGGGGGAGCTTGCAGGAATGGCACCCCCCAGGCAGTGGCGGAGATGAGAGGTGTGCTTTCGCGGCCCCCATGCCGCCCGGGCACAGAGCAGAGCCACGGGCCGGGCCCCCGTCCCAGTCCGGGTGGTTGAGGCCCGAGGGGCTGGTCCCAGCAGCGGGGCCAGTGCTGCCCGGGCAGCGGGACTAACCCCCACTGCCCTCTCAGACAAAGTCTTGAACTGAACAGCCAGTCACGGGGGGCATCCTCTGAACACCTGACGGAATGTTCTGGCTCCCTTGGAGGCTGCTTCCTGCTGGCCGGGGCAGTGACCTTGGAGGAAGCGCCTAGATGACTCACCAGGCCTCAGATGATGGGAAGGGGCCTGGAGGCTCCTCCTGGGGGCCCCGGGGCAGGAAGCCCTGGTCTGTGGACAGGACAGAGCCCGTCCCCCTGAGCCAGCGACCGTGGGCAGGGGGCTGGGCCGGGGGTGCTGGCCGTTGGGGGGGTGCTGACCGCAGGCCAGGGAGCTGCGGGGTCCCGGGGGCTGGCTCTTTGGGCGTCCAGTTTTGATAAAAATACTTGAAATCTGTTTTCTACCAGTAAGTGCGTGACGTGGGTTGTCACTGCAACACCGGCTCAGGCGGGTGTGGCCTCGCTCGGCCTCCCCGTCCCCACCTCACTTTGTCCCGAGCCCTGTGCCCTCCGGGCGGTTCTATCGCAGCCCCCCCAAGCGATGGGGAGCAGCAGGCACCACCTGCTCCTGCCGTGGGTTTCTGGGCGGATTTCAAGGGAGCTCAGGGGGTTTCTGGTGTAGCTGGAGGGGGCGGCCGGGCCACCGGCAGGACGGGGACTTGTCGCCCAGGCTGGGTTTTCCTCTGGGCATGTCACTGCAGGTGGGGTCAGCGGGGTCGGCTGGGTTGCGTGTCCGGCCCATCAGCCCACACCCACCGCCTCCGCCCTGCCCCCCCTCCTCCACCCTCGGCTCCAGTCAGCTGCCCTTCCCAGCCCGCTGCCCAGCCCCCTGCCCCGGGGGGGGGGGAGGACACATGGAGCATTATTAGCCCTTGGGGACACGGGCGGCAGGCGGGGGGCGCGGGGCCGGGGGCTTTCCGCAGGACACAGGCGCCTGCTGAGCGGGGAGGCGGCCGGTCCGGGAAGCACAGGTCGGCTCGGGCTCGGGAGCAGGTGCTCTCCAAAAACCAGGGGCCGGGGCTGCGTGTCTCGGTCTTTTTTTAGTAGAATGACAGGAGCTAGGATTGTCATTAGTGGGAGTCCCTCAGGCCGCCCGGGGGGGCACTTAGGTCACTTTGGCGTTGAAGGGTGCCCTCTGGTCTGCTCGGGCACGGGGCGCGGTGGATCTCGTGTGCTCCCGCCGGCCTGCAGTGACCGCTGACCCCTGCGGCCGCGTGGTGGGCAGGGGAGGCCGTGCCCGGCTGTCACGTCAGGGGCGCACACAGCCTCCCCGTGGATCCTGGGGGGTCGCCGTGCCCACCTTCGCGGGGCAGCCACCTCAGACTCCAAGTCCCTGCGGAGGGCTGGTCTCCCCACTGATGACGGAGGCCGGGCTCCCCGCGTCCCCGAGGCCGGTGGCGGCCCTGACCCCGCGCGGTGGGTGTGGCCTGGTGGGTCTCACCTCCCCACCCGGGGCCCGTGGGGGCTCGGCCTCATGGTGAGCCTCCCGCCCGGACACACGAGGCGCCTGTGGCTGTGGGCCCGTGGGCACCTGTGCCCGTGCTGCCTTCTGCAGTGTGCCCGTGTCCCACAGGTGGAGGGATGGGGCCCGTTCAACCTGGTGTATGGCTCGACACCCGCCCTGGGCCACGCCTGTGACCATCCTCCGGGTAAGCGTCCACGGCCCGCCCGCCCTCCCGGGGCCTCTGGTCCCCACGCCCATTTGCACCCTGACGGACAGCAGAAGGTGCCAGCTGTCTACACTCCTAGACATGGCCGTCCTCGCGTGTCACCGGCACGAGTAGCCCGTCTGCTCGGAGACTACGGTGCGGCGGATTTGACCCGCGGGAAGCCGTGGCCCCACTTGAGAGCGGCCCCCACCTGCTGGCCCCGTTGCTCTGCGTGGACGGGTTCCCCGGGGACACACGCATGTGCTTTGCCAGCCCCGTTATACCTGTCTCAGTGTGGGTGCGCTGGGTGAGGCTGGGCGCTGGGGCCACCCTGGCTCTGGGGGGACAGGCCTGCCCGGGGAGCAGGTGGGGCCGGGGGCCAGGCCAGCCGCACCGAGGGGCCCGTCCGCAGTCTCCCTGCGCCCTCGCAGAGCCGCTCAGCCTCCCCCCTCCGCCGCGGGCACGGCCCAGACACGCCCGCGTCCCTTCCCCAGCCTGGTACCTGTTCCAGTATCACCGCGTCCTGCAGTACGCGAGGCCCCGGCCGGCCTGCCCGCAGCCCTTCTTCTGGATGTTCGTGGACAACCTGGTGCTGACGCGAGAGGAACAGACCGTGGCCACTCGCTTCCTGGAGGTACGTGCGGCACCGCCGTCCACGCCTGTGAGGGCGGCCTCTCCGGGACGCGCCAGGCACGGGCCGTCAGGTGGCCGGGAGGGCATCCCCTGCATGGGCACGCTGCTCCTGCACTTCTAGACAGGCCACCGCGGGGCTCTCATGTGTGCGCACGACCATCTCTGTACACGTTGCACACGGGCACGCGCCGCACACGACATAGGAGCTCATGCGTGCACATAGGACCCAAGAGGTGTGCTTCCGCGGGCCCCATGCCACCCCCATGACACGTGCACACAATATGCAGTGCGCTGGCACACGCCACACACGTACACGGATTCACACGTGCACTCACGCTCACAGGCGTGTACTCATCCTCGGGGGGGCACCACCAGCATCCTGACCCTGGGAGCAGCCGTCCTGGGCTCACCTGGCCCGGGCCCCTCCCAGCATTGTGCCCCCCAGGAGAGCCCCCAGTGGGGCCTGGTGTCCCCCTCTGAGGACGTGTCCCCTGCGCTCACGGCAGGAGCCCTCGCTGCCGACTCTGTCCCCTCACGTCCTGGCAGCTGCCCCCATGTTTTATTTAAACACAAGCCGGTCAGTGGAGGGCCCCCCCCACCGCCCCCGGGAAGCCCTCCCTCCACAGAGATGCCCCCCTCGTTGGTCGTTCTGACCCAGGACCCTGTGTGTGGCTCTGCTCTGTGCGGCCGCGAAGATGCGTGCGGTCTGCTCCCTCTGCTGGGTGTCGGGGTTGCCGTGGCTTTATGGGGGGACGACGGCACGGCAGTGTGGGTGAGCAGGGACATCATGGGACGCGCCCCAGAGGTGACACCGCTGGGCAAGCTGTCACTCTCACAGTCGTGCCCACCACCCCGAGCATCCCCCATCAGGGGCCGCGGGGTCACGTGGGGTGCACGGCTCCCTCCCGCGCAGTCCTGCTGGGTTTCGGCCTGGGACCCCCGTTCCTTTCCGGCACTTTCTCCGGCAGCGGCGAGCGGGACCTTCCTTTCCGCCGTCCGACTGCATTTGATGAGCCGTGTTGGCTCCTCTGCATCCCCGGGCTCCCGCGCCTCCTGGGGTCATGTGCGGGTGACAGTGGTTCCCGGTCGGTTCGGTCCTTCCTTCTGGGTCCTTGAGCCGGTCCCTGGGCCCCTCCGGTCTCGCCGTGCAGGCGCCTGTCCCGGGATGTCGGGCTGCAGCCGCGACGGGGCGGCCCTGGCTGTGTCTGCCGGTCGCAGAGACGCTCCCGTGTTCCCCTACGAAGCTGACGCTGGCTCGTAGGTTGGGGTTGATGGATTTCACTCAGCTGAGGGCGTTTCCAGAAGTTTCCATCGGCTCCCACGTCTGCGGTACGCTCGTCAAGAACAGTTGTCGGCTCCGTCAGACGTTCTTCTTTCCAGTCTCTGGAGATAACTGGGTCGCTTTCCTCTTTCGATCTATTGAGGGGACAGGCTACGCGGCCCGGCCTCCGAGGTCGCTAAGTGACGTTCCCCTAGAGTGTCACCCATGAGCTACAGCTTTAGAAGCCGTCTGCGCGAGGGGCCGCCACGCGTCCTCGTGATGCCCCTGCTTTCCTCCTCATCCCTGATGGCTTCTCCTCGATCGGGAGCCTAACGCCACCTCGGAACAGCAGCAGGGACCGGGTTTGTAACCTGCACTATTTATTAAAAAAAAAAAAAATTTAAATAAGAAATGTGGGTCCAGCCAAAAAGTGCAGATTCCAAATCTGGGCACCGGCTACCAGCGGCAAACGTGCTGACTTTGCATCTTGCACACGCGCTTGGCGGGGTCCCAAGAGGTCCCAAACCAGAGGTAGCCCAAGGGGCGGCTCCCCACGTTTCCTATGGTGCTGGGGACCCTCCGTCCTGCCAGGAGCGGGGGAGGACCTAGACGTGCCCGGCACAGGTCCCAGCTCTTCGGCTCAGGCCCACGACCCGTGTTTTGAATGAAAGGGTCGCGACAGCCGTGTTTCGGTTGGAAAAGGGAGGAAAACCTGTGACGGGCGTAGGGAGCAGAGCAGGGAAGGAGCGCGCAGGCGGAGGGAACAGCGGGCGGGCGTGAGCGCAAGGGGCGGTTGCGTCAGACCGGGCCAGAGTCCCCAGGGAGAGGCCTGGGCCGGCTCCTCCTCCCTCTGGTGACAGGTCCCCACCCCCCACCCCCCACCCCCCGGGCCGTGTTCACGGGCCCAGAGACGGGTCCGGGGGTAAATGTGTTCCTGCAGCGCGGAGCGAGCTGCAGTGCCACGTGTTCCTCTGTGGTCAAGGAGCCTGGGCTGCGGGTGTCAGCGTCCCTTCCCGGGTTCCCCCCCGGGGGCCAGCCCCGCCTGGAGCAGGAGGGGATGTGACACCAGACCTATAGCCCCGGGTGCCCGGAGCACAAGGGCCAGGTCTGACCAGGAGGCCCGATGACACGTTCTAAATACCGGCGCTCCCGGGGTCACGCACGCGGCCCGAGCTCCCGGGGTCACGCACGCAGCCCGAGCCCGCAGTCAGCCTTTCTCAGCCGTGTGTGCGGGTCCAGGCGGTCGGCTCTGCGGGGCGCAGCACAGAAACCTCCATCTGCTCAGAGCGACCGGCGGCGAGTGGCTCCCCCAGGCCGGTGTTGGGGTCGGGGGAGGCCCATGTGGGCTCGGAAACGGTCCACGGGGGACCCTCCCGGCCCCTGAGTCCACGCAGGCGCAGTCAGACTATCTCCTGTTGGGGGCCAGGGCCCGGGTGGCTTCTTGCCTCAGTTTCTCCCTTCCGTGGCTCGCTCTCCCATTGCTGGGAGGTCTGTCCCCTCCCACCCCACGCCCTTCCTTCCAGGGCCTTCCAGGGACACCGAGGCTCCAGAATCCCGGCAGCCTGAGGCCCCGGCACAAACCCTTTGTCCGCCGGCAAAGCCTCTTACCTTCCGGGAGCAAAACGACCTCGGCCCAAGGACCAAGGACATCCTCGTCCCTCAGGGGAAGCCACGGCTAGCTGCGGCGGGCGGGAACCCCTGCCCCCGGGACCCGCGGGGACGGAACGGCGACGGGTCTCCTGGTGAAAAGTTTCACGATACTCTCTCAGCCCCTTTCCCTCGTAAGGTGCTGGAGGGAATCGCGGGATGCGTAAGCGCCGCGGAGCCAGGCGGCCGGTCCCGGAAGGCGGCTGCGGCGACGGTCCCCGTGGGGCCGAGCTTGTGCCCGTCACCCTGACCCCCGTCGCCTTTGCATCCGTCAGGCCGACCCCGTGACCATCCAGGACGTCTGTGGCCAAGCCGTGCGGGACGCCGTGCACGTGTGGAGCAACATCCCCGCCGTGAAAAGGTGTCTGCTGCGTGTTCTGGGCGCGTGGGGGCTTTGGGGACGCCGACGAGCAGGGGGGAGCCCGGGTGTCCCCGTCCCGGGCCGTGTCTGCCAGGCCTCCCGCCCACCCCCACAACCCTGGGCGCGCCAGCTCGGCAGTGCCACTCCCGCCCCGGGGACCCTCCCCCGCTCCTCCACCACCAGGGGCCGGCATCTCCCCGGGACCCGTGTGCCCGCCCCCTGCGCCCTGGCACCCCTGCCTGCCCCTTGGAGCTCCGCCCTGCCCACACCCCCACCTGCTCACACTCACACCGTGTGCTCACACTCAGCCACACACCTGCTCACACCTGCTCACACTCACACCTGTGTGCTTACACTCATTCACACGCCCACACCAGCTCACGCATATTCGTATACCTGCTCACACTCATACCCACCTGCTCACACACCCATGTGCTCACACTCATTCACACGCCCACACCAGCTCACGCATATTCATATACCTGCTCACACTCATACCCACCTGCTCACACACCCATGTGCTCACACTCATTGACACAGACACACCAGCTCACACATATTCACATAACTGCTCACACACACACACACCTGCTCACATTCATTCACACATCACACCTGTTCAGCGGCTCACACTCAGGACATACAGTCCTCTGTTCATGCTCACTTACACTTACATACCTGCTCATGCCTTCCTGTTTAGCTCACACTTACATCCTCACACCCACCTGCTCACACTCATTCACGCAGCTGCTCCTACATTCACATTCACCGGCTCACGCTCATTTGCACACACAGGCTCACACACTCCCACGCTAACACGAGCGCAGCCACAGTGCCTTCCTGGGCTGTACTGAACCACTGTCCCTGACACACACCTGCCTTGGGCCTTCACACGCGCCCCTTCTCTGCTGCCAGAACATTCTCAGGATTGTTCTTACGAGCATCCCGTCTGTCTCTGGGCCCCACCACATCCCCGGCCCCTGGTGCCCCAGCCTCACAACTCCGGGCAGCTTTCTGCTCCCAGGACACCTGCACACTGTGCCCCAGAGCCCCTGAGGACACGGCCGTGTGGCACCTGCCCTCGGGTTGAGCCAGCGTGGCCAGGATCTGAGCTAAGTCTCCTCCTCCGGACAGCGGGTTTCTGGAAACTTCTCCCCCCAGCCCCCACCTCCCAGTCCCAGCATCCCCCTGCTTGTAGTGTGGCAAGTGCTCTGGGCCCAGCCCACCAGGGCCGGGTGCCGTGCAGGGGGAGCCCCCGGGGAGCAGCTTCCCGATGCCTTTCTCGCCCCGAGCACCACCTCTCCTCCCCACCCCCCCTGGTTCCCCAAGCGGCCTCACAGGGGCACAGTCCTTCGGGCTCACCCAGCCCAGCGGTGAGGACAGAGCCCGAGCTCGCTGCAGGTGGGCAGCTGCCTCCGCACGGCCAGCCGCGGTCATCCCGGTCACAGTCGCGGTCATCCCGGTTGCCCCCCAGACGGGAGGGCGGCCCCGGGGAAGCGGGGGGGGGGCAGGCGGCTGTGGCGAGGGGCACTGCGTGCTTCCCGCTCCTCATTTGTGGCCTTAATCCACGAAGTAAACCCAGAAGCTTCTGAATCCAGTGGGAAGCCCGGGCCCCAAGACGGTAGTGGGGGTGCCGCTGCCAGGGCCAGATGGGCGTCCCTCCGGCCGCATCACATTGCAGCCAGGTCCACGTGTCGCTCCCCACCCCGCCGGCCCCCCATGGGGCCTCCAGCACAGGGGGACGGACGTGCGTGGTACCCTCTGCATCGTGTGTGCAGCAATTCCTTGGGAGGATGCACGTGGCGGTTTAGCCAGCCTTGCCCACCGAGTGGGCAGGGGCTTCTTCACACGGGCAGTGGGTCTGCCGAGCAGAGGCCGGCCCTGCTCGCCCCCGGGGGGGCGTGGGAGACACGGGGCGTCTCGTCCCCTGGGGCCCAGGACTGCTCGGCACCTGCCACTGAGGTGGGGGAGCCCCCCAGGTTGTCTAGCGGGACTGGCACCGGCCGGCTTCCCCCCGGTGCCCCCCGACCCCGACCCCGGCCCTGGGCAGAGCTCGGCTGGTAACGAGCCCCCTTCTCTCCTTGGCAGCAGACACTCAGCCTTGGCCTCCCGAGAGGAACTGTCCCTGCTGGTGCACAACAGGCAGAGGACAAAGCCGCCCCTCCAGGGCCCAGCCAAGCTGGTGAAGAACTGCTTTCTCCCCCTGAGAGAATATTTCAAGTATTTTTCAACAGAACTCACTTCCGCTTTATAAATGATATATTTTACCGAGGAGGGAAAAAAAAAAGACTTTTCCTAGAAGCGGGGAACTTACGTTGTTTCTTTTTTCCTTTCCAAATTGTTATTTTATTTGCTTGACCTTGGATTTCCCAAGATTGCTACAGACACATCTTTCCTTTGGGTGTGGTGAGGCAGGGCCTCTGCCCCGCGGTGCCCTTTGTTGGAGGGCGTGAGGCTCCCAGCACCCAGCCATGGACACGAGCCTCATGTTGGGAAGCAGATTTGCCACTGAAAATGTTTCTTGTGTGCTGGTTGAGAAGTTAAAAATATATTTATTGTGGTCGTCACTGGTCATCTTCTCGTGTTTCTGTGCGCGTTGCAGAGCTGGTTTCAAGTGACACGGAATGAATCCTAGAGAGATCTTTCTAGGATTTTTTTTTTTAGCCAGAAAATCCCCCAAGTGACGTAGACTTAGGTCGTCAGGACACACGATGTGTCCTGAGCGTCACGACAGGGGTGAGGGGGCCCGGGGCCCGCGCCGGCGCCGTGAGCAGTGTGCACGCCCTGCAGAACAGCGGGGCTCAAACTGGAGCCTCTGAGGTTCTTTTTTATTTTTTTAAGATTTTATTTATTCATAAGAGACACAGAGGCAGAGCCACAGGCAGAGGGAGAAGCAGGCTCCATGCCGGGAGCCCGACGCAGGACTCGATCCCAGGACCCCAGGATCCCGTGCTGGGCGAGGCGGCACTAAATCGCTGCGCCCCCCGGGCAGCCCCTCTGAGGATCTTTTTAAAGAGTATCTTGAAGTAGAACATTCGCCGTAATGGCGAATTTTATGTTTGCCATGGCTGGGCCACGGGGCGCAGACGCTTGTTCAAACATTATTCTGGATGTTTCCGTGAAGGTGTTTTTGGATGAGGTTGCTGTTTCAACCGTCGGACCCTGAGGGAAGCAGACGACCTTCCATAGCATGGGTGGGTGCCGCACCCCAGGGGGCCTCTGGGACACGACTCCCAAGGGTGGGTGCCCTTGTCAACGAGGCCCGGGCGCTCCTTGGCCCTGAAGGATGCATGACAAGTGTGTGACCAGGAGGAGGCCTGTCACCCGGCTCCGCCGGGACCCGGACCTCAGCCCTCCAGCCTCCCGAACGGGGAGCAGTGCGTTGTTTAGAAGCCATCGGGTGACACTTTGTTACAGCAGCCCCGCCGGCCTGCGACCGTGGGCGTCCACCCACCACTGAAGGTCCGAGTGCCACCAGGCTGAGCTCCTCGGAGCAGGGAGCCCTTCAGCAGGTCGCCCGGGGACCCCGGGGACCCCTGCTCCCCTGTCTCTGGCGGCCGGCGCAGCCCGGACGTGTTGGGTTCGTCGAGCTTCCACAACCCCAGGCAATTCCTCGCGCTGAGTTTCACTGTATCTACGGCACAGCCTGTTGGTTCTGTTCTCTAGAGGGTCCCGACTGACATTTGGGGACACATTGTCACCGAATCCATATGAACCTCCGTTCACGGGTGGTTGTCACAGGTCTAGGGGCCAGGGGCTCATTTAGCAAGATCTGTACTGAAGCCACGGCCAGGGCGCCCGGGGGCTCCGACAGTGACGCGTCTGCCTTCGGCTCAGGTCATGACCTCCGGGTCCTGGGATCGAGCCCTACGGCGGGCTCCCTGCTCAGGGGGGAGGCTGCTTCTCCCTCTGCCCCTCCCCTGCTCACACTGTCTCTGTCAAATGAATGAATGAATGAATGAATGAATGAATGAATGAATGAATAAATAAAATAAATAATAAATAAATAAATAGTTAAAGAAACTGAGGCCCCAGGAGCCCCAGAGAAGAAGGTAGGGTCACGGTGACAGTGGCATCCAGGCACAGATAAGACCTTCTCAGTAGGCCAGGTCTGGGGCAAGCTGACCACCAGGGTGCGTGCCCGTGACAGTGCCCGTGCGGATGGGGCATGGTGACCTCCACACAGGTGGGCTGGTCTACCCCAGGGACCCCGTGTCTGCTATCAGGCCTCGCCCTAGTGGGGACCCAGAGCTGCTCAAAAAAGGTTGACACTTTCTAGCTCTCAAATGTCCGGAAATGCTCCAAGTATGTAAACCCACCCATAGACCCCAAAAGATGTCCCCGTCCTAATCCCTGGAGCCTCTGAGTGTCACTTTCTGTGGCAAAAAATGATGCAGCCCATACGGTGACGTGAGATGGGGAGGTTGTCTGGGAGGACCTCGGGGCACCCCACCTGTGATCACCAAGGTCCTTATCGGGGCAGCCAGAGGGAGGCCTGACCTCATGTGGGGCAGGTCACGGTCCTGGGGACAGAGAAGCAGCTGCAAGACCAGGGGGCCTGGCGGCACCGGGAGCAGAAGCACCCGAAGGGCCCTTGCCTAGGGCCCAGACCTGCAGCCTCCAGGACTTAGAACGCGTTTCTGGTGCTTCCCGAGCCCAGAGCCCAGCTTGGTGGTGACATGTTACGGCTCCTCCAGAAAAGGGACACACCCCCGAGGGGAAGAGACAGGCTCCAGGGACCTGGGACCCCGGGACATCCCCCAGGCAGGGGCGGCGCAGGACGCTGAGGGCGAGACCTGGGTCTCAAGCATCCCAGGGCATCCCAGGGCGACCTGTGACCTGCCCCCTGCCCCGGCTGGGCCCCCGCCCCCCGGAGGAGGGGGGAATACCATCCCGGCTGTGCCCAGGAGGCCCCGACATTGGTCCCTCTGACTCCCTGAGAGGCAAGGTCAGGGGCAAGGGGGAGAAAGGAGCGCTGGCCCGACTGCAGGGGCCTCCCCAGGGGAGTTGTCTCCACTTGTCTTCATATAACTCTGTGTGTGACCCACACGCCACCGTGGGCGTGAAGGGTTTACGTGTGGGCTCACAAGAACCAGTGACAACTCACGCTTTTGGAGGAAGCTGTTGTAACTATGGTGCCCTGGGCACTGGGGGGGCAGTGCAGGCACAGGGGGGTCAGGCAACTTGCCGGGTGGCACAGCTCCTGGGAAGACAGAGCTGGGGCTCCGAGGGGGAGCCTGGACCAGGCCGAACCCCTGGGCTGGTCTGGGGTGGGGGTGCTCCTTCCCAAGGAACCCAGCACCCCTCAGCCCGCAGGTTAGCCCGCCTCCCTCCCCCTGCCCCCCTCTCCGTTCTCCCACCCACGGAGCGCTCCCCCCCAAGGCTTGGCCCCTTGGTCCAATCAGAGGTTGGCCGGGGCTCTGCGTGCAGGGTGAATCCAGGAGGGCTGCAAGGTGGAGGTGCCCCCAGCGGCCGCTGTCCTCACCCAGCGGTGGCCGTCCTCACCCACGGGATGTGCCCGGGCTAGTCCCATCCCCGGCTCGTCCTACACCGCTGACATCCCTCCCGCGCCCAGGGACACCCTCCCTGCAGGTGTACCCGGTCCCCTCGGCTCACCCGGGCTTCAGGCTTCGGATGGCGCCGGTGCTCTGGTTCCGGGAACAGGAGGGGTCCTGAGGCCCCCGGCCCGTTTGGCGAGGGCCCGCACCCTGCTCTCCCGCCAAACCCGCTGCCGTCTGGGCCCCCCGCGCCCGCGTCCCACGCTCCGCGCGCCCCCCCGCGGGGCCGGTCCGGCTCAAGGGGAGGGGCCACCCCAGCCCCAGCCCCAGGCTGCGCTCGGGGGTCACCCCGCCCTGCCCGGCCTCCAGCCCCCTCCTCTCCCGTTTCCACCGGAGACTGCCCGTGTGGACCCGGCCTGCCGTGGGCGCGCAGTGCGGCCCGTGAGGGGGTGAGGCCGGCGGTGGCGCGGTCGGGGAGCCCTCCCGGCGGGGCCCGCGCCCTACACCGCGCCCTCCCGCGCCCTCCCCAGCAGCCCAGGCACAGGCCTGGCGGGGGGTGGCGCGAGGTCACGCCGCACCTGCCAGCTCGGCCGGGGCGGGGGCGGGGGCGTCTGGGCCCCGGGCGTCCAGGACCGCCCTGCGGGAGGGGCACCGTGTGCCCTCGTGGCCTCACCCACTCACCTGTCGGGCCGTACCTGCCTGTTGGGGCGGGGGTGCAAGGTGACTCAGCGGGCAGCGCGGTGGGGGAAGGGAGCGCCCAGGGCCTGAACGGGGGGGGGGGGGCTTCGCGAGCGTGGGGGGGCAGACACGACCTGGTTTCCACGCGCGGGCCTCTTAGAGCCCTTCATACCCACCTGCGCCGCGGCCTGCGGCCGGGACCCCACAACGGACACGGGGCGAGGCCGGCGCGGTCTCCCCGACGCCACGGGCCTGGACCGGACAGCGCGCTTGCCTGCTTCCCTCCCCCCTCCTCCCCCTCCCCCCTCCCCCCTCCCCCCTCCCTCCATCCACTCGCTCCTCCGCGGACGCAGCTGCGTCCCCGGCCTCGGAGGCCCTGACTCCCGCCCGCGGGAGGGTCGCGGGGAGGCGCACGCTCGCCCCCCCCACCCCCCCCACCCCCCGGGCAGGGAAGCTCGCCGGCGAGGCGGGGTCCTCGGGAGCGCCCCTCCGGCCTGGCGAGCCCCCCCCCCCCCGCCCCGCCGCAGCCCCCCGGGCCTGGAGCGCCCGCGGCCCGCAGCCTTCCGCGGGGACCGGCCCACCCCGAGCCCGGCCCGAGCTTCCGCGTGCTGAGCCCCGCCTACGGCCAAGGTCGGGGGCGGGCCCGAGGGGTGGGGTCACAGGGCGGCGGGGCGGGGGCCTGGGCAAGGGCTCAGCCGCCGGGGCCGGAGCGCTCAGAGCCTCGGAGGCGCACGGGCGCGGCCACAGCTGGGCTCGGGTGCTCCGTGGTCACCGCGCTCCGGGGTCCCCCGCGCTCCGGGTCCGGGGTCACCGCGCTCCGAGGACCCCCGCGCTCCGAGGACCCCCGCGCTCCGGGACCCGGGGCCACCGCGCTCCGAGGACCCCCGCGCTCCGGGACCCGGGGCCACCGCGCTCCGAGGACCCCCGCGCTCCGGGACCCGGGGTCCCCGGCGCTCCGACAGCTCCCGCCTCCGGAGGTTCCCCGCGCTCCGAGCGCTCCCGAAACTCGAGGTCCCGCCCCCACCATGTGGCTGAGGTGGTGAGTGTGCGGTTTCGGGGAGGAGGCGCTGCGGGAGCAGGGTCCGGAGGTGGCCCGATGGGACACCCGCTCACCGGGTGACACAGCGGAATCCGCGGACCGTCGGCCCCTGGGAGGCAGGCATCCGGAGCCCCTACCTGCAGGGGGTGGCATCCGCGGGGGTGGGGGTGGGGGTGGGGGCGGGGGCGCTCATGGGAGACCTGTGGCCGCGCGTGGGTGTGCTTGGAGGCAGGTCCCGCGGAGGAAGGGCGGGAGGGCACCCTGGGCGACCAGCACTGGGGCCGGGGTGACTCTCCAAGGCCAGCCGCTGCCCACCGCTGGGTGCCGCACCCTCCCACACACCTGGGATCCTCCGCCTTCACGGCCTACGCGGAGGGAGGGTGGAGCTGGCTCAAGCGGGCCCCACTCCTGGTGCCCAGCGGGACGGCGCCAGCAGCAAGGCGGGGTGACTGCCCTGCCCCCAGCTTTTTGCCAGAATGCCCCCTTCAGGTCGTGTTGTGGGGTCCACAGCCTGTGCCCCCTTTGATAAACTGGCGTGGCTGTGATACCCGGGTCCTGCCACGGGGTCTCCCCAGCTATAAATGTCGGTCCTCAGATGTCACAGCCACCCATACCCCAGAGCCTCGGGGGTTGGCCTGGGGGCCGGGAGGGCCCAGGAAGAGGGTGCAGGGAGCACCCCGGGAAAAGGCAAACCTGTTTCCCTGGCCAGAGTCCAGAGCCTCTGTTCATGCCCCCAGGAGCCCTCAGATAACCCCAGGAGGCCCGCGACTCTCGCAGGCAAATGTTCCCTGGGTCCTCAACACAGAACGGGGTGGGGAGGTCTCATGGGCACCAGGAGGCCAAAAGGGGGTCACCCAGGGGTTCTCACAGCTTTGTGGTTTAGAAGGCTGCTCCAGCTCCGGGTAAGGGGCTGGGGGTGGTGGCTGTCATCCCCGCAAGCCGGAGTGGTGGCCCCTACAGGCACAGAGAGAGGACAGGCGTGCCTGCAGGCTGGGACTTCGGGGCAGGGGCGGGGGGGTTGGTGGCCCAGGGTCTGGCTTGGCAGGCCTGCAGCACATGCCTGAATGTACTGGGCACTCGGATGGCAGCCGGTGGGGGCGGGCAGGGGTTCCGGTGGATCAGAACTCGCAGGATGCTGGGAGGCCCGTGGGACCAGGCGGCCAGGCTTAGGCTGCAGGGTGTGGGTTCTCGCAGGTCAAAGTCTGCTTCAGGGAGTCTGGGAAGTCCCCGGAGAGGGTTGCTGGCCTCTGGGGCCGAGCTGCCCACCAGCTCCAGAAGAGCCACCCGACTTGGTTGCAGAATGATCCTGTTCCTTCAGAGGGCTGTCCGGCAGCCCAGCTGGCCCTGCCACTGGGCACGTTAGATCCTCTGTCTCCCAAAGCTTTTTTTTTTTTTTTTTAAGATTTATTTGTTTATTTCAGAGAGAGAGAGAGAGAGCACGAGTGGGAGGGGCAGAGGCAGAGGGAGAAACCTTGGCAGACTCTCCCCTGAGCGTGGACCCAGACCCGGGGCTCCATCCCACGACACGAGATCATGGCCTGAGCCGAGACCAAGAGTCGGACGCTTAAGCCACTGAGCCCCCCTGGCCCCCCTCCGTCTCCCATCTCCCAAAACTTAAATGTAGCTCTGACCACAGCTACCTTGAAAAGTGTATTTTTCTGGTTTCACACAAGTGCTTGGAGTCCATCCTGAGCAAAGGCCAGGCCAGCACGGGGTTGAAGGCCGTGGACTTGGGGGCGGCTCTCAGCACCCTTCGGGATCACACGTGTCAGCCTTGTGTTTCTGGGGCCTCGCTGGGCGGGGCGTGGGGCTGCGGGGGGTGGGGGTGCTGACCCTCCCCTCGCCGAGTCCCTGCGTGGCCCGGGAACCCTCCCAAGAGGTGGTGGGTGTATTCACATTCCTCTGTGGACACAACCGCTCCTGCCCATGAGGAGAGGCCTGTGGCCTTGTTTGGAAGAAGCAGGACTCACCTGCCTTTCTGGTCGTTTCTTTCCAGTCCCGGAGTGCTCCTGCTGCTGCTCGGCGCCCTGCAAGCCAGTAAGTTCAGGGGTGGGGGCTCCGGCGGGCTGAGCGCTGAGGCTGCGCATGCAGGCATCAGCAGGGTCCCCACCACCACCCTTCCTGCTCTTCCGGGGAGGCCCCTTGGAGGAAGGGGAGCCAGGGCTCCCCGTTTCTCCTGACGCCTTGGCTGCAGTCAGCCCTGGGGCACCTCCAAAGCCACCACCTGCAGAAGAGCAGGGATTGGGCAGCGCAGCCGAGCGGGAGGCCCCGCCAAGCCTTCCAGCCCCGAGGCCGAGGGCAGCGCACGCAGTCGGTGGTCGTGGCAGTAAAACCGCTCTGGACACAGCCACTCAGCCTTCCTGACGTCGTGCGAGCAGCATTCTCATGCCGGGCTGAGAAACTGTTTTCTTTTAAACATTCGAAGAAAGAAAGAAAGAAAGAAAGAAAGAAAGAAAGAAAGAAAGAAAGAAAGAAAGAAAGAAAGAAACCCACTTTTTATTTTGAATTAATTGTAAATACCCAAAAAAGTAGCCGAAACAGGGCCGAGCAGTCCTGGGTGCCCACCTGTTCCCCCCACTTCTCCCGAAGCTCGCCTCTCCTATAGGGATCGAAGTCCACGTTGGGCGATACGGGGCGCACCAACAACGTCTGCATCTTAGACACGCTATTGCGTTCCTGCGCCTCTGATTACAACTCATTTCATTTCTGCTGAAATGAGTCAGAAGTGGCATTTGAGTCTTGCCACCAAAGAGGCGTCCCTCCCCGCGGTAGGGCAACTTTGCAGGCTGGGAATCAACTGCAAAAAATCCATTTTGTGCTTTTCGAATCACAGCAGACACTCAAGAGCAAGAAGTCAAAGCGCTCGTGGGCAGCAGCGTCGAGCTCCGCTGCGTTTTCCCCGAAAGACACACGTTCGATTTAAATGACCTTTATGTGTATTGGCAAATCAGCGTCGTGGGCCAGCCGAAGACCGTGACTTACTACCTGTCCGGGAACAGCTCCACCGGCCAGGAGGACGACCGCTACAGGGACAGGGCCCGGCTGTCGCCCGAGAGCATGCAGCGGGGCGACTTCTCTCTGCACCTGTACAACATCACCCCCTACGACGAACAGAAGTTCAACTGCCTGGTGTTTAGGAAGTCCTTGGAGTTGAAAAAGATTTTGGATGTGGAGGTGACGCTGCACGTCGCAGGTAAGAGCACGGCCGCGGACGGGACGTCCCCACCCCACCCCTGCAGCCCAGACCTAGGATCAACAAGGCCCATTTCCACGCTCCTTCCCCGGTTTCTTACCCAAAGAACCTCCTGATCTCGACGGGGTGTGAGGCGCAGCTGGCTGGAGACTCGTCCAACTCGTAGGAAGGTTTCTATAGCCTGAGTGGACCTGGTCTCACAGGAGACCTGCTCGTCTTGCTGTGTTTGCCTTAAATTCCCCAAATCAACTCCAAGTGCATGTTCTAAACGAAATCAGGAGAAAGTGCTGTAAAGCACCAAGTGAGATCGGAATTTAGGAGGAGGAGGATTTCAGGCGACCAAAGACCTCAGTGCAGCGGAGACGCGGGCTGCTAGCTTTCCATGTCACCAGGCTCGCACAGGCCCACCAGCTTGGGTCGCGGGGTGGGTGCCAGGCTCAGCAGCCCTGCTCCGGGGGGCAGAGGGGGGCGCCCCCGGCCACAGCCCTGGTCCCGCCTCGCCACCGCGGTCAGCGGCCTGATGGGGCCTCCTCCCCTCTCACGGGGCCCCTGACGCGTGTGCCCGTCGTTTCTGACCTTCCGGAACTGGCGCCCTCACCACCATCTCCCCTCCCCGCAGCGAACTACAGCATGCCCGTGGTCAGCGCCCCAAGCGGCCCGTCCGAGGACCGGGAGCTCACCTTCACCTGCACGTCTGTGAACGGCTACCCGCGGCCCAACGTGTACTGGATCAACAAGACGGACAACAGCGTGCTGGACGGGGGCCTGCAGAACCACACGGTCTCGGTGAACGCCCAAGGCTTGTACGACGTGGTCAGCGTCCTGCGGGTCCCCTGGGCCCCCAGCATCAACGTCGGCTGCTGCATAGAGAATGTACTTTTGCACCAAAACCTGACCAACAGACCGGCAGGTACGGTGCCCCCGGGGTCTGCACGCGGAGGCCGCCCCAAGGTCGTGGGTCTGTGGTGACTCGGGCGACTCTCTGAGGCCGAGGCCCCTGCAGGGTGACTTGGCAGTGGCTTCCAAAAAGCTGGCTGGAAGGCAGAGGGGGTGACAGGCAGCCCTCGGAGACACGGTGCACCAGGGCTGCTGAGGGCAGGCAGCCTCCACTTTGTGGACCCGTTTTACAGACGAGGGACTGAGGCCTGGAAGGCTGTGTAGGAGCGGGCAGTGGGGGCCTCAGGGGTGAGGGTCCCACCTGCACAGTCCGTGAGCTTGTGCCTATCACAGGGCCAGAGCCCCCACGCGAGGGAGGGTTCTAGCGGGTGGCACCAGGGTGGCTGCTGGTCGGGGCTTCCCTGTAGGAGGGCAGCTGGCAGGCAACTCCTTCACAGGGGCCACGGGCTCTCAGTCTGCGTGTCCTGGTCACTAGGGACATCTTCCTGGAGGGGGGGGCGGCCCCCGTCACTAGCATTGAGACGACAGTTCCCAGGGGGTGCAGGGGGAGAGAGCTCCAGGGTGGGGTCGGTGGCGCCCGCCTGCCTGCTGCAAGAAAGCCGTGCTGCCCGCAGGACCCGCAGCCCTACCCCGTCCCCCGTAACCCGCAGGGCCCTGAGCACAGCAGACAAATGCAGCCACCTCGTTCTGGAATCATGAGAATTCACGCTGGCAGCCGCAGAGCTCATCACCAAGCATGAGCCCTGTGGGTGTGGGCCCATGAGCCCGCGTGGGTCGCACACCTTGAGGCTGGCCCAGACCTCCAGGAACTCCTGCAGGGCCCCCATCTGCCTTCCTGAAATCCGGGCACGGCCTTGTGACTCAGGGGTCACGGTGTCTGAGCCCAAACAGAGCAGGACCAGGGCTGTACCAAGAAGCCCGCCTCTGAGCCCGGCCTCTCGGCCAGCGTCCCCCCGGCAGGGCAGCCCAGGCAGCAGGTGGAACCAGGAGGTTCTCTGAGGGCACTGGTGTCAGCCCACACCCCGTGGATTAGCATCTATGGGCCGTCCGGGCACCAGGACACGTTTAAATGCTTCCGGATGATTCTAACGTACATTAAAGGCCGAGCCGCGGAGGGATTTCTCCAGGTTGGGAGAAACACGGGGCGTTGGTAACGAGCTTCCCAGGGGTGCTGTTGCTTGTCTGCCCCTGGGCACCACCTTCCAGGGGCTAAGCCACGGCTCGGGGGACAGGAGGGCTTAGCACCCACCCACCCCCGTGCACGGCCGCTGCGACGCAAAATGGTGCAGCCGCCGTGGAGGACAGTCGGGCCGTTCCTCGCAAGGTTTCCGCGTGCCCAGAAATGCCACGCTCAGGTGTTGGCTCCGCAGGACTGGAAACGAGCCTCACGGCCTCGTCCGTGAACAGGCACAGCGGCCTCGTTCACGCGAACCAAGTGGCAAATGGATTACCACGTCCATCCACGCGGGGGGATTTTAGCCACGGAAGGGGACGAAGCACTGCCACGTGGGTGGGCCGTGAGGACATCCTGGGCAGTGGGAGCCGCGCTGCGATCCCGTGTCCACGCGGCGTCCAGGGGAGGCAGATCCACAGACAGGCAGGGGGTCCGGAGGGCAGGGACTGTCCACGGGGACGGGGCGCCCCTCTGGAGCCCAGAATAGGCTCTGGGACAGACAGTGACGATGGCCATGCCACCCTGTGGACATTCGAAATGCTGCTGAATTGGTCACTTGGAAATGGCAACGTGGACGTTACGTGGACGTTATTTGAATTTCACCTTGGTTTTCTTTCTTTTTTTTTTTTTTAAGCCAGCGATAAAGCTAAAAAAAAAAAATCACAATAAATCACATTTAAAAATTTATAAAAGCCAGGAGGCCTCTGTGCTTCCCGCCATGCCCTGCCCAGGTGTGGGCGCTGCAGAGGTGGGGCCGAGGGCGGCTCGGGGGCGCCGGCGCTGTGTGTGCAGCACCGCCGCCTGCCTGGAGGAGGTGAAGGCTCACCTGAGGGACAGGACCCCTTCCTCCAGCAGCCTCCGGTTTTAGACCTCACAAAGCAGTGCCGGGAAGTTCTGTGGCGGAGGCCCCTCCTTTCCTCTGCACCCCGTTAAGTCTTCGGTTGCTTTCTTCTTTCTCGTAGAACCGATCCCTGGAACTGAGCCCAGCAACACGGGGAGCCACAGGGACGTCCACAGGAGGGGTCACGGGGCGGTGCTGAGCGCCGTGGCCGTGCTGCTCGTGCTCGTGCTCGTGCTCGGGGCCGTGGGCTGTGTGTGCAGGAGCAGGTGCCCCCGCGCGGACCCGTGCAGGTAGGGGGCCAGGCGCCGGTCGCCGCGGCGCTCCATTTCCGTGGTTGGCGGGAGCGGTTTGCCCTTTTCGGGACGTTGAAAAGCTCCGTGAGCTGTGGCTTTCCCCGCGAGGTGCGGCTTTAGTCGCGCCAGCGTCCGTGAGTGCTCGCGGCTCCTCCAGCTTCTCGGCTGCGGGGCCAGGCCACAGTCCCGCTCTGGGGAAGCCGAGCTGCCTTGGGCCCCCAGTTGTGGCCAAGCTCAAGGGCAGGTCTAGACAGTCTGGGTGCCGCCGACCCTCTAAAATCCAAGCGGCGGAGCTCAGAGGAGCCCAGGACCTGAGCAGGGTCACACCCCTGGGGTCACCAAGACAGGCCCTGGGGCCCCAGGCCGGCCTGCTGGTGGAGGCCGGCCGGCATCGCCTGAGGTAACTGGCAAAGTGGGGGACCTTCCTGGCCTTTTGGGAGGCTGGGGGCCATGGCGTGCTGGTCAAGGGACTGGCTGTTAGCTCCCGGCCGGAGGCCCCCCGCACAGGGTCCCACGTGCCGCCCTGCAGCTCATCCCCGGAACACTCCCGGCCCGCTGCCCCGCTGCCCATCCCGCCAGGCCCCGGGAGGCGCCAGGGCCCACCTCCGACGGCGCAGCTCCCTGAGCGTGGGCGGCCCGCGGGGCCCTCCTGTGGGGTCCGTGCTGCCCCAGCTCCCGGAGCCCCGGGGCGTTGGAGCAGCGCCTCCCCTCCCTCTGCCGCCCACCCTGAGCGTGTCTGCTTCATCCCTGCAGGTGGCGGGCTGCCAGGCCGGAGCAGGCCCTCTTTGGTGAGTCGCGGGGAGCGGGGCACAGGGCGCTGGCTTCCGGGTGGCTGCCGTGGGCCCGCGCTAACTTGACGGACGGGGGATGGATGTTTCCGTTTTCGGAGACACAGTGGAGCCCTAGGGAAGGCGCTTCCCGGTTGTCCCCTTGGGATGTAATCCGATGCTTATGTACACTTGCTGACGTGGGGTCACAGAACATTCCAGGCACACAGGGCAGCAGAGAGCCTGGGATGATGCACCCCAGGCACGTCCCCCAAACTGCACTCTGTCTCCCCAAGTCCCCCCCCGGCCCCCTCCCCACGGGGGACTCAGGTGGGTGCAGACCCTGAGCCCTTTGTCAGAGGACAGTCACCCGGTGTCCCCTGGTAAGGGCAGGCACCCCACTGTCCCGGGGGCAAAGGTCAATGTGATTCCCACCTGTTTGGGGGACACAGCCGCACACGGAGCCTCCATTCCCCCCCACACATGGCAGGTGACTCGGGCGGCAGGGGGCAAAGGGCCCGTTGTCGGCCAGCCTGCACCTGACACCAGAGGGGGTGGCCGCTCCGCTAGCCCATCTGCCCACCCATGCAGCGGGCGTCCCGAGGAGGCTGGACCGCAGTGCCCACCACAAGGGCCCCACTGTTTCCCGGGGCAAGCTGGGTCCCGGCGGCTGGCTTTGTTCCCACCACCCTAAGTCCCGAGACAAGCAACCCGTCTGCCTCCCGAACGGAAGGAAGCAGGCACTGTGTTCTCTGACACCCCCTTCTCTTTCTTTCCAAGACTGCGTTTGACGAGAACTTGCCACCTGGGACGCGGACAGGGCTTCTGCGAGATGCCACCAGGAGGGACAGCGGACGGCAGCTTGAGAATTGACCCGGGCAGGCCTGGTGGCCAAGGGGGACCGGCTGCCCCCGCTGGCGCCGTTAACAAGGGGGCTTCGTGGCCACGGGACCTCTCCGACCTGGAAGGGACTGCGCAGGACCGTGCCAGACGCCAGGGCGAGTGTCCCGGCTGCTGCCCCCATCCTGGGATGAGGACCTTCCGACAGGCTCGGCGGCTCCAGAACACGCAGCCCCCACGGGAGCGGGCTCCCCACCCCGGCGCATCCTGGTGGCTCCTGAACCCACAGCCTCCTTGATGTCGGAAACCCCCGGGGACTCCGGGGGACGGGGTTCTCTGAGACCAGAGGAGGGCGTCTCATTTTGGGAAGAAGAGAGCGGGTGCCTGGTCTCTTCCTCGCCTTCCCTGCTGGGTGAAGGTCACCCAAGGGTGTCTGTGGGACATGTAGATGCGGGGCCCCCACCCTGCCTGCACCCCAGGATGCAGGACCTGTGTGTCTGTGCATGTGTGTGTCCAGGACGCAGGACGCGGTCAACGCTGCCAAGCCCCTCCCCGAAGGACGCCTGGGAGCCTGGGAGCCTCTGACATCTTCACTGGGAAGAGAACCCGACCTTGCTCTGGTCAGAAGCTGGGTTTCCCTCCCTAAAGACACACGGGGGCTTCTCGCGAAGGCCGTCTGCTGCGGCGGCCGCCCTGGCAGGAGCAGTGGCCTCCGGGGGACACCCGGGGACAAAGCAGAAAGTCAGAAACTCGCTCAGCTGGGATGGGGAACGTGGGCTTCACCAGGTGGCCGGCGAGGGCCCTGGGGGCACCACGTCACGAGCGGCGGGGCCTTGTCCCAGCAGAGGGGCAGCCGCTCAGCATGTGGCGCTAACTCCGTGCCACCCTCTGCACCCATCACCACCGGGGCCCCAGAACCTGCACGGTCACCATGAAGCCTCCGACATCAACTCCAGGCTCCTCGGAGCGCCCCCGGGCCCAGCAGGCGGACGGGCAGTGAGCAGCACCCAAGGCCACGGCCCTGATGGTTCCCCCGAATGAATGTAGCAGCTAATGTCTCCAGAAGGTTCTGCAAAGGAGGCCGGCGGGTAACGCGGGCGTGCACAGCCCCTGGGAAATGCAGCCTGTCACCCTGCCTGTGGTCACTCGGCACGGATGGGCGGGCATAAGAGGCCTGCACGCCCCAGACCGCGACAAACCCCGGCACCGGGCTCGGTGGCAAAGCCGAGCCCAAGCCTTGTTACAAAAAAGGATCCATTGTGTATTTTTGTACCCAGAACGCCTCGCCCGGCTCTGGCACGAGAGTGGTGAGGACGGCACCCGGACTTCACGTGAAGCATTAGAAGGGCGCGTCCCTGCAGAGGGACGGGGAGGCCGCGGCTTCGGAGCGGGCAGCAGGTGGCCGCTGGGCTGCAGGAGGGGGCGCGGGCCCGTCTGCGGCCTCGGGCTCGGGGTCCCGACCAGCGTGTGGCCCGCCCGTCCGCGGCAGACCCGCTCGCTGGGCGCCCTCCCAGGGTCTGGCTCGGGGTCTCCCCGTGAGCGGACCCCGCCCTGGAGGACGCTCCCAGCCACTCTCCCACCGCCACCCGGACCCTCGGGTGTGGGAAGACGCACGGTGGCCCCGCGCCCTCGGGCCTGGACGTCACTGCGCTTGTGCTGTGCTCTGCACAGGCCGGAGGCCCCTGTATTCATGTATTTCTGGAAAACTGATTTACAAGAATACAAGGTGGAAGTGGTGTCTGCGTCTAGTGGCTTCGTCGGCACTCGGGTGGCCCATCCTTACCGCGGGCCTAGGGACTTGTCCCCGGGGGGCACCGGGCGAGGTCCAGTGGCGTCTTTGGTCGTCACACTAGGGGTCGGCACTGGCCTCCCACGGGCAGGGGCACATGGGCATCCCCTCGAGAGGCAGCAGCACGAGAGTGGGAATCCCTGCCCTCCCATCATCTTCCATTGGGAGGCAGGGTGGTGGGGCCCGGCCTCCTGGCCTCCTGTCCCTTTCCGCGCAGGGCTCCCCAGAGCTGCTCGGGGGGCCGGGCCCAGGCGGGCTCTGGGCGGGGCTGAAGCTCCCCCAGCCCACATCTGGCCCTTACCCCGCCCCCCCATTCCCAGTCTTCCAGAAACAAGGCAGCGGGCCTGAGGGATCTGAGGTCATTCTGTCCTTAGAGACTGACCCTTAGACCCCCCAACACCCGAGGGCGTGAGAAACCCCCCCCTCCCGCCTGGCTGCTCCTGAGCTCTCCAGCCCCCATGCAGGGCCCAGAGGCTTTAATGTCAAAGAATCTGGGCCCTCCTATGTGGTCAGCGCGCCTTCAGGGGCCAGGAGCTGAGCCCTGGGGACCGGGGAGCGCAGTCCACGTTCCCTCCACCCGAGGAGTGCCTCCCATGGGCCAGGCCCAGGCCTGGGTCCTGCCCTGCTGGCCACGGTTCCCACGGCTGCCCAGGCCCCCATGTCACCCTCCCTGTGGTCTCGCTCTCAGCCTGTCTATAGCAGCGGGGACGTGTGTCCAGCTGTAGTCTGCGTCAGAGCCTGCGAGGGAGCCTGGTGGGGAAGGGGCGGCCTGGCCACCCCGACCCCCACCTCCCTCTGGGCCCGCGCCCCTCCCTGTGCAGGCAGCCGCAGCCGGGCACCTGCGCTCCCATCTCAGCCCCCCTGCACGAAACAGTTTGGGCTGGGCTGAGGCTGGAGGAGGCCGTGGGTGGGGGACGGGGCTGGTCAGGGGAGTCCTGAGAAGGAGACGTGGCCAACCCCAGAGGGGTGCCGGGATATATGGGCGCATGGCCAGGGCTGCCAGGGTTCCAGACTCAGCAATCACCAGGCTCCAGGGGACTGAGACCTACCAAATCCTGTGTCAACGCAAACACCAGGCTCCGTCCGGGCCTGGGGCCCAGCGACAAGGAGCCGCGGCGATCCCCGGGGCCCACGGAGCCCACAGAGCCCACGGAGCCCAGCCCCCACCCCACCCAAGGATGTCAGCGGCCGACTGGCCACGAGAGAAAAGTTGCTGATGAGATTTCACACCAGACTCCAAAGTCAAGAGGCCTTAGAGCCACACTGGTTTTTAGGGCGCAGAAAAGTTACTTTTAGAAAAATCACTTCCTCACAAGCAAGGGTGGGGGATAAATAGCGGAGCCTGAATGGGACGGATCCCCTCGCCTCAGCGGCCGGGCACAGCCACAGCCGAGTCTCAGGGGGCCAGCCTGACCGCGGAGAGGGCGCTTAAGGGCTGCTGGGTCCAGACTCCAGAGCTCCAGCTGCTCCCCCAAAGGGTGCCATCCGGGCGCCCTGCAGATGCCTCCTCCCTCGGGGGCGTGTCGGCGGGAGGGCTGCTGCGCAGGGGTGCGGGTCCTCGCCACCTGGGAGCCGGGCCCCCCAGCTCTCCGCGGACTTGGGGCGCTGCGCCTGGGGCTGTGTGCGCAGGGGGTCAGCATCTCAGGCTCTGGCCACGTTTCTCGTTTGCCCCCGTGCGCAATCAAGATCCCGGGCCCCGCGCTCCTGTGCCGTGGCGGACGCGGTCCTCTGTGCATCGTCCAGGGAAAGCGTCCGCGAGCCTCAGCAGACCTGTCTGGGAAGGAAGAGAGCGCGGGTGGCCATCTAGGGTGAGTCGCCAGGTGGGAACGAGGGGCCTCCGGAGGACCAGGGACCCACAAGGGGAGACCTGCCACGTGGGCTTCGCGGGACCGGAAACGCCCCCAACTGGGGAGCGATGTTTGTGAAACGTGGCTTGAGGGTCGAGCAAACTCGGGCATCATTTTCCCTCCGTAATAAAGCAGCGAGCAGATGATGCAGTTACGTCCGACAATAACGGCGCCTTGAACGGATCTTTAATTCTGAGGGGCCGGGTCTGGGAAAGGCTACGGCTACGGCGGTGGGGGCCCACGGTCAGGGGGAGACCACGGCTGGGGGGCCCGCCGTGCCCAGGAAGGGCTTGTCCGTGATGGGTCCCATTATGGAGCGTCGTGCCACAGGGTGAGAAGTAGTGAGCTGGTCCTCAACGAGGTGGGTGCCCCGGCCTGGAAGTCCTGCGGGGGGTGCCGGGCTTCGGGGAGCGTCGCCCGGGCTGCCAGGGCGCACAGGCGGGGCCGTGGGGCTGGAACCGGCAGGCACATCCCGTGCGGGCCAGGGCGTCCCTGACAAACGGCGGCGAAGGGCCACGGGCAACGTTGCAGTAAGACCCAACTCGGTTAGAGGAAAAAGCAACAGATTTTTAGTTAAAATTACCTCCTGAACTTCCTGTCTGCTTTTTGGGTCTGAAAGAGGAAGTGACACTTCACAGCCTAAGAAGCCAGTTCGGAAAGGGCCCCCTGAACGTGCAGGGTTCCCAGGGAAGTGGGGGGGTGGGTGGCAGGGCAGCTGCGGCTGGGAGCCAGGGCGTGAGACGGGGGTGCCAGGCGGTGCCGTCCACCCTGCCGTGCCCACAACTCAGCCCCTCCGTGCAGAGTGCAGGCCGTGCCCGGAGCTCCGGGGCCTCTGCAGGCTCAGCCTCTTGACTGAGCTCCTGGACCTTCCCAGAGGGGCTGCAGCGGGTCCCTATGAAAGGGAGGCCAACAAGGTCCCTGGAGGGCGCCCCCCTCCCTCCTGGGCCCTGCTGTGCTCCTGCCCACGGCGCCTGACCCAAGGGAGGGCCTGCCCAGGGCCACACTCCAGGGCCCCCCGAGCCCGGCGCACGTCAGCGGGGCAGCTTCCTGGCATCGCTCAGAGACGGGAGCCCCGCAGCAGGTGGACCGGGGAGGCACGCAAGGAGGTGAGGCAGCCATGTAGGGTAAGGGTCGGACAGGAAGCTTTGGGGACCAAAGGATACGATTAGATAAACACACAAACTAGCTTGGAAATTATATCAAATTCCTCAACGGCCGCAGTTTTTTTCTGAAAAAAATTTCCAGAACAGCTGGACTCATTCCTCTAGACCATCAGGCCAACCTCCTGATCTTACTCCATCAAAAAAGATTGGCCTCATTCATTCAGACAAGAACATTTAACAGACTGAACCCAAACCCAGGGCCCTTGGGACCACTCTCATTGGGTTCTGCTGGTGGAGGGTTAGACGGGGCGGGGGGGGGGGAGACAGGGCAGGCCTCACTCCCCAGCTCCTTCCAGAGAGGTCAGGCTGTGCCCTGCTCCAGACCCGCTCCAGGCCTTGCTCCAGATCTGCTCCAGGCCCACTCTAGACCCTGCTCCAGATCTGCTCCAGGCCTCAGTCCAGACCTGCTCCAGATCTGCTCCAGACCCTGCTCCAGGCCCTGCTCCAGGCCCCTGCTCCAGGCCCTGCTCCAGGCCCCGCTCCAGGCCCTGCTCCAGGCCCCGCTCTAGGCCCCGCTCCAGACCCTGCTCCAGATCTGCTCCAGGCCCTGCTCCAGGCCCTGCTCCAGACCCGTTCTAGGCCCCGCTCCAGATCCTGCTCCAGATCGGTTCCAGGCCCCACTCTAGGCCCCGCTCCAGGCCCTACTCCAGATCTGCTCCAGGCCCCACTCCAGGCCCCACTCCAGGCCCCACTCCAGATCTGCTCCAGGCCCTGGTGCAGGCCATGTTCCAGATCTGCTCCAGGCCCCGCTCCAGATCTGCTCCAGGCCCCGCTCCAGACCCCGCTCCAGATCTGCTCCAGGCCCCACTCCAGGCCCCACTCCAGATCTGCTCCAGGCCTCGCTCCAGGCCTCACTCCAGGCCCCTCTCCAGACCCCGCTCCAGACCCTGCTCCAGGCCCTGCTCCAGGCCCTACTCCAGATCTGCTCCAGGCCCTGGTGCATGCCAAGCTCCAGATCTGCTCCAGGCCCCGCTCCAGGCCCTGTTCCAGGCCCCACTCCAGGCCCTGCTCCAGGCCCCGCTCTAGGCCCCGCTCCAGACCCTGCTCCAGATCTGCTCCAGGCCCTGCTCCAGGCCCCGCTCCAGACCCGTTCTAGGCCCTGCTCCAGATCCTGCTCCAGATCGGTTCCAGGCCCCACTCTAGGCCCCGCTCCAGGCCCTGCTCCAGATCTGCTCCAGGACCCACTCCAGGCTCTGCTCCAGGTGGGGCACTCTGTAGGTGCTTACCCACTGGGCTGAGCAGTCACGCTCTATGGTTTGTGCACTTGTGTTGCTTGCGGGCGCTGACGCCCCCGGAGTTAAAAACAAGCCTCTCGCATTTCACCCTATTGTGTCTTCCTACGCAGCCACACCATGAATGGTGAGTATTTGCATGGCACGTTGTTAGAAGTCACAGCTCATCGGATCTTCATAATAACAGTGCAGGTAGGACAAGCAAGAATGCCCCTTCCCAGTGGCAAGGAAGCTGAGCAAAAGCACCCGCCTGTCACACTGCAGATAGCAGAATCTTCCAGTTCCATATTACGGCCTCTTTCTACTGTGCTGGGGTCCCTGCTCTACCAGCTGAGCTCCTGGGTGTCCCCCCAGGGGGTTCAATTGTTGGTACGTACCCTGTGGTCACATCAGGATTTCCTGGGAGCGGTGAGCAAAGTCCCATCCCAGCGTAATTGTGTCACAGGGTCTGGAGTGGGCCCCAGGTATCAATCAGGTTTTAAAGCTGCCCAGGTGAAGAATTCCAGGGTGAATATTCCAGGAGCCACCCAGCCTGGCTCTGGGGATTGGGGCGCTGGGGACAGCCACTCCTGAAGGAAATCCCACCTCCTGATTTTACGGCACAAAGACCAGGCCCCAGGGGTCTGTGACCCAAGGCCGGCAAGGCACCCAGGGCGAAAGTCTAAGGCGGGGTTCGCCTACAGGGGCCTGCACGCCCTTGACCCC